CCAGTTGTTAAAACACACTTGTCTAACCTGAGTGTCCCATCGTCCTCTCTTGAAAGACTTCATAAGAGTCAGAGTCTGCCAGCTTGGAGAATGAAATTAATTGTTCCTCCTCCATAACTTGAAGCTGTCTAAATGAGTAAGCTGAATAAAGCTCTGTCAGTTTTCTAGCTAGCAAATTTACCCAAAAATATTTTATCTGTCTTTGTAGTCAAATTTCATCTTTCTCCTTCCCTACTCACCCATCACACAAGGAGCAGATCTTGAGATCCTACTTTATCCTAAATATCTTTATCACATACACATCATAGCAGATCAAACGTAAGGGCTGTATTGAAGGCTAAAGGCATTTAAGTACTAGAAGCCTCCTGACAAGAGAAGCTGTTAAGAACCCAAGGAAACATTGATCTTTCTACACATTGAGTCTCTTGCAAATTCAGTTTATTGCCATGTCAACTGATGAAGTACGCAATAGGGATTTTCCTGCTACAAGTTTTATTTAGAATTGGCAGATTCCAGCAGACAATTTTGGTTTTATTCTGTTCATACAGATGTAACATTCTTATAGATAATAAAAGAAGAACCCACTGCAAGTCTTTAAACAACTTGGTTCAGGAAATACTTGAGTCTCAAATTTCAGAAAGCTGAGATCTTGGAGAACATGATGCTCATGTCCCTTCTCTATACTTTTCCCAGTGTTGGTTATCATCAAAGAAAGATAATGGGCCACATAGATCTGCAGTGTGTCTCAAACCCTGGTATTGTCTGCAGATTTCTTGTCCAAATACAAAGTGGAGGAGCACAGAGCCTGGTGATGATCAGATCTGGGTTTTGGCAGCATTATCCTAACTGGCATTTAGAGAGGAGTCAGTAACAATATAATCTGTATGTCTTTTACAGATGGGCAGCAAAGGTGAGGCTGGAGCCTAGAGTAGCTGCATATGAGAAGTTTGGTAAATACAAAATGCAGAGGTGGAGTTAAGGAATTAGAATTAATATAAGTTTGATGCTTATTGATCCAAGCTCACTGCTGTCCAGGGTTCTTATCCCTGGACCTCCTGCACATTTCATTAAGAGATCCAGTTGTTAAAACACACTTGTCTAACCTGAGTGTCCCATCGTCCTCTCTTGAAAGACTTCATAAGAGTCAGAGTCTGCCAGCTTGGAGAATGAAATTAATTGTTCCTCCTCCATAACTTGAAGCTGTCTAAATGAGTAAGCTGAATAAAGCTCTGTCAGTTTTCTAGGTAGCAAATTTACCCAAAAATATTTTATCTGTCTTTGTAGTCAAATTTCATCCTTCTCCTTCCCTACTCACCCATCACACAAGGAGCAGATCTTGAGATCCCACCTTATCCTAAATATCTTTATCACATACACATGATAGCAGAGCAAACATAAGGGCTGTAGTGAAGGCTAAAGGCATTTAAGTACTAGAAGTCTCTTGACAAGAGAAGCTGTTAAGAACCCAAGGAGACATTGATCCTTTTACACATTGAATCTCTTGCAAATTCAGTTTATTGACATCTCAACTGATTCAGTACACAGTAGGGATTTTCCTGCTACAAGTTTTATTTAGAATTGGCAGACTCCAGCAAAGTTGATTTTGGCTTAATTCTGTTCATACAGGTGTAACATTGAAAATCTATTGAGATGCTCTGTGTTCAGAGAGTTCAGTTCTGTGTTCAGCTTCATTTCACAGTGGAGTTTGGTGGTAGTAACACCAACCTCATCCAGATAAGAACCTTTAAAGATATGATGTGTGGGTTTGCATTCAAACCTGAGGACTTGGCCTATCACTCATTAAAAATACTGGATATGGTTCAAAAACTCACTGTGGTGGATGTGTTAGAACAGATAATACAGAGCTAGCTGAAATTTTTAGGAGAACAATTCATTCACTCAAATATACAAGACTTTTTTGGCTTAAATTCCTAAAGAATTTTTTAATAAATCATATAAACTTAAAAAAACCCTGAATTTAGAAAGGACATTTAAAGCCGGTTGTCCAAGAAACTCTCCCAACACACAGACTCAGTATATCATTCTGAAACCAACTTAAAGCTCAGCAACTAATTCAAAATTGCTCTCCAGAGAGTGATGTTAGAAAAAGAATGACACCCACACCCCCTAATCCATCATACTCCACAATCATACACAAATGTGAGCAATAAGAATGTTTGTGTATAGTGTGAACAAAAAAGGGTTTTAGGATGCTTTTAGGGAAATGCTTTCATTCCTGACTTCTATTAATATCATGTATATTAAGATTGCAAAGACAAAGCAACAGACTTGGTCCCTGGGAAAATGGGATTAACAATGAAGTGGATTAATAACTTCCTAGGAAAAGAGACTTTTTATCTATGCAATTTAGGATGGGCCAACATTCAGTGTTATATCACTTAGATGTAGTTTCCTGGCCTGGCAGAGTTATTCAGAACCCACAGTTGACGTCTGTTGTGGAGATGGCCAAAAGACTGAAGTTATTAACTTACACTGAAGGACAAGGTGACTTTCAGCAAACACCCTCTTCACAGAGGTGGATGAGGGGCACTACTTGTCCTCTGGCAAGAGGCACACAGGAAGCCAAGCACAGCAGCAGCAAGGACCTGAACCACGGTGTCTCAAATGCTGGCAAGAGGCAGACTCCATTTCAGGGTGATGTAGACTCTGTGACATCCAGCTTGGTGTCAGTCTGGGCTGTCAGACACAACACAGTTTATTTTGACCATCCTGATCACTGTCCTGGCTGCCTAGGAAGCCCCATGACTGCATAGGGAGCCCTGTTGCTGCATGGCCATGGTAAACTCTCCAATTCATGCTAAACATTTATATTGCATAGCTGTAGAGGGCAGCCTGAATCCAGTTCCCATTTCTCTCCATTGCTTAGAGAAACCAGGTCTGGCAGTGTGGACTATCAGGTGTGCTGCCCTTGAGTACAAGACACAGCACGAACACCTAGATCTTCAGTACATCTGAGTGAAGATCCTAATTTTCCTTGTCTGGAAAGCTCTGAGCTAACCATGGATCAAATAAATAAGCAGATCACTGTTGCTAAGATAGTCTGGTCTCCAGTTCTTTCTGACCTAGGTCTTTCTATTGAAGCTGTTAACAGAAGAACTAATTATAATGTCAGACATTTTTTTGCTGAGACATTCTCTGTCAGGAAGGAAATAAGGAGCATTTAACACTGCTCTGTGGACAACTAGATGACAGAGAGGCATGATTGCAGCCAATCTGCATCAGACTTGATTTACTTTAAAAGAAAAGCATTTGATGTCCTAATTACAAGACTCAGACTGCATGGCAACCAGGTCCATTTTAGTCAAGCATGTTTGTTTGTAGCCTTGCAAAAGTGCAAAGGAGGGTGAAAGGTTTGAAGGTCAAGGTAAAAGAAGAGGTCACAAAGAAATACAAGAGGGACATTGGATAAAATAAACAAAACAAAAATATGTTAAACAGATATAAAAACACAAAAACAGACATGAAAATATAAAAATAGATTACTTTGCATTCCTGCATTGGAGATAAAAATACTAGAAAACACACACAGTGCTTGGAGATCAGAATCCAAGATTTTCAAAATTAAAAAAAAAAAAAAAGAACTGTACTAATTCACTGGGAAAACAAACAATATAGCTTTGGCTGCTGACCAAAATGCCACCTTCTATTGAACTACCTAGCATATGTAATGCTTCTCCCCATCTCATCCCACAACTCTGATGATGATGCTAACCTAAACTTTGGATATCATGCTATGCCTGCAGTCTCTGTAACTCCTCTTTTAATACTGCAGCTGTTTTTTACCCCTGAAAAGAGACATCAGGGCGGGGAGAGAAAAATGCAAACACATCAGGTTCCTGTACATAAGCCCTGAAAACTTTTTCAGCAGTGTAGCGTGAAACTTTGTTTTAGAAGGTGAGATGGAAATCAGCCTTAGCTGTGAAGATTAAAAGCAATCAGGGAGTTATCTCTTCCAACAGCTGTGGGACTCCCAAAATCATACATCAAGAAGGGGCATAAACAACGTTGTACTCAGCTTCCCTATCTCATTGTGCTGATCTACTTTCAGGATGTAACAATTATTTTACACTGGGTGAATGCATGCAGATTTTGGAAGTATTTCACTCACAAATCCCTTAATAAGACATTGCATTCCCCAGCATATTGCCTTACCCTGCATCCCATCCTGATTGCACATGCTTCAGCTTGAGAACAAAGTCGGAGCCAAAAAAGTGAGCTTAACTTCTATTTTTCTCATTGATATTGTGTTTAAAACAGTCACCCCCTTTATTGTGAAACTTCTACTGAAAAGAGGCTAATGAGTGGGTAAGGAACAGAGATCCATATACATGGTCTCTGTTCTAGACACATTTCATTTCCTGTAGATTCATTTCCTATTTGATTATTCCAAAGTGGTCTCAGTTACCTTATTATTTATTTCTTAATAAGAGTTTAGGGATCCGTATCATTCACACTCTGTGTAAGATTCTACATAAGATTCAAAACATTCTAAGCAAGGGTCTAGCTGTGTTCTTTAATGCCTTGCACATGTTGTGCTGCCCAGGATCAAGGTCTGCCTGTGCTAACACCAGTGTGGAAAACTCCTGAGGAGGAGGGTAGCCTCCCATGCACTCCTGGGTCCCTCTGGGTTGCACAGATGACACGGCTGATGAGCTAATCACAAGTCATAGGTTGCTGTTTCAGCAAAGCCAGATGTCCCTGCAATTCCAAACCCTTTCTGGCCTCCTACTCACCCTCTCTGGTATCAGGCTTTGTCTTTTTCCTGAAGGAATTCTTTCATCTTTCTCTTATGTCTGGGACCATAGTGCCCATTTCTCATCTGCACATACCCTCTAGGCAGCTGAGTTTTAGCGCCCATAAAGTGCTCCACAAAACTCTTCCCAGTGACAAATTTAGCACTTCAACCACTCTTCCCATTAACAAACCACTACTTTTTCAGAAGCAGGAACACAATTTATTATACCAGGAGAAGAGCACATCTTATTTAAAGTTTAACCACTCATCTTCTAACAGAGACTGAAAGATGTATTGCTCTACAGCCAGGTATGTTTACACTCGAATTATGCCATTTCTTTATCAGCAATCAGACTGTGACCGTGGTGTTAAAAAGCCTCCAAGACAAACTGTGTGTGGGCAATAGTCCCCAGCTTGCACTGGGCCTCAGATTTCATGGAAGCTGTATGGAAAGTGGCAGCTAGCCTGAGCTGCAATGGGGACAGTTTTAACAGTCTAGCATAGTATATAATAAGATTTTACTGTCCAGTGACATTTTCTGACACGATTTGACAGCACAGACACTGCAGGGAGCTCTGTCAGCTGCTGGCCAGTAGAGGAACCATTCTTTAGAGGTCCATGGAGAGTATGTGTGGCTTCAGCATGTCTCTGTCCCAGATGTAAAACTGGGAATTCTTCCTTTCATGGTGAAATTCTTCCTGTTTTCCTATCTTTTTCCTTCAAGAGACTCTGTATGGAGAGACAATCTGGATTTAAACAACTAGATTTTAAAATCAGTCAACTGTATACGCCCATTGGAACACGAGGAATACTTGTCTTGTCCCTTCCTCCCTGCTGCTGAGGAATCCTTCTCCATGGTCTAACAAGGAATTAATGAATGTATGAATGAAGAAAAAATATGGTACGTGCAAGGAAGCCAGATGCACATTTACTCAGTGAAGGTGTGTGTTTCCCTGTTAATGTTCCCACAGAATTGGGTCGTGTCAGATTTACACGAGTATGAAAAAGTTGTTCATTTAAGATCACAAGTTCTCTGCCTTGCAAAAAGTTTGATAAAAAGCCCCATGCTCCCTCCCACCACACGCTTGTGGAGGTCTCATGCATGTAAAAATCTGTTTCAATTAACCTGTCACATATGACAGTTCCTCATACCATCCCACAGCCAGGCATCAGAAAATTCTGCAGAGATGAAGATATGAAGATGCAAGACACTTAATCCTCTAATACACTTCTCATAATATCAAGGAAATTTAACACTCATAGGGAAATGGTAGAGACGACCAGCATCTTCCACTTAACCTCTGAATATTAACATCAGGGTCTGCTCCGGTACAGGCAGACCCACCAGTCCCCACCAGCCCTGATGCAGAAAGACCCATCTCTGAGCTAAGAGATTTGGTTACAACTCTGCACTCCATCTGAGACTGTCAGATTTGGGGCCAGCTATGGTCATGGAACTTGTGATGCCACTCTCCATCCATATGGAAAGGAACACCTTAAAGCATTGTGGCAGTTTTAAGTACTGCTAACAAGAACTGGGTGGGAACCAGTTAAGGGACAAAGGGTTAGTTATAAACACATCTATATGTTTAAAGGGGAGGAAAATCTTTGGTTGATTCTGCTTATCTGATCTTCACCTGCTTTCCTTGAATTTTTCACATGGCGGTGTTGAAGCAGGAATTTGCTGTCAGTCCTCATCAGAAGGCTGCACCAGCTAGTACATGGAAGGTATATGGTTTTCTGTAGGAGTACATTTTCTCCTGCTCCCTCTCTGCAACCAGACTGCTAATGAACTTACTGCTTATTCAGTTACAGGGCTCCTCATGAAAAGCTGGGAGGTGTTTATGGCTCCAAAGGCTCATAAATGAGAATGGTAAAATTATTCCTGCTGACTGCGCAGCAGGGCCCTGAGAATACAGCTAGCTCTTATAATTCTGTCCAGACACCTCATGCTTCCAAGTTAAAGAGCAAACTACCTAATTGAAGCAATACACATGTCCAAGATAAAGCATAATATCCCTTGAAAAGGAGTTTCCAGTAACTTGTGTCCTCAGCAAGAAGTAATTTATATACTCTTAATTCCACTGTCTTGCTTTTTTGTTAAGCAGATTGCTGCTGTTTTAACAGTTCTTGTTCAGCTTGATGATGACATCTCTACTATCCCAATTCTACTTTTTGGGAGAGATGTGGAGATATCTTGTGCTCTTTAAATGACTAACTTTTCTGAAATGGAATCCTAATGAATCAACATTCAGACATGAATTTCTGAATGTCACTTCCCTGACTGATGGTTTTGCAGATCCAAAGAGTTAACTGTAGTTTTGCTTTAAAATTTAAGAGCTCAATTTTCATGTTGAGCAGTGTTACAGACTTAAACTGTTCATGTTTTCTTAAAGGAAGGCAAATACAATAGTAGAGTACAAATGCAAACTACTCCCACTGTACACTCATAGCAACTGAAGACCATTAATTAAAATCATGTAGAACTGATTAATGTTGCACACTACTGCAGCTGCTGCAATGTGAAAAATATTACCATATTTCTCAAACTTTTCTGGAGGTTTGAACAAGATCAATTACATTATGAGGCAGCAAAATGTACTTAAATCTCTGAAGTGCCTTACACTTACTTGTGACACCCCAAGGTCAGTATTAAACAGGATTCAGTAGGCTGCCCAGAAGTCTTTGAATCATAGATTCATAGAATACTTTGGGCTAGACAGAGCTGGCCAACCTGGCCTTGAAAGTTTCTAGTGATTGGGCATCTACCCCCTGTCTGGGCAATCTCTTTCAGTGGCTCACCACCCTCATTGTAAAAAAATTCTTCTTTTTCCAGTTTAAATAGACCCTCCTTTAGATTAAATCCATTACCCCTTGTTGTATGTGAACAGGTTCTACCAAAGTTTCTCCTCCTTTTTTTTTTTAATTTTTTTTTATTGTGCCCTTTAAATATTTAACAGCCTCAATAAAGTTTCCCTAGAGCTTTCTTTTCTGCAGGTTGATCAGTCCCAACTCTCTTACAGGAAAGGTTCTTCATCCCTCTGATCATCCTCATGGCCCTCCTCTGGCCCCACTCCATCAGGTCTTTCCTATGCTGAGGACCCCCAAGCTGGACACAGTGATCCAAGTGAGCACAAGGGCAGAGTAGAGAATCATCTCCCTTCACCTGCAGACCATTCCTATTTTGATGCAGCCCAGGACATGACTGGCTTTCTGGGCTGTGAGTGCACATTGCTGACCCATGCCCAGCTTTTCCTCCACCAGTACCCCCAAGTCCTTCTCCACAGGTCTCCTTGCAACCCCTTCATCCCACAGACTACATTATACCAAAGATTGCCTTGATCCAGGTGCACCACCTTGCAATTGGCCTTGTTAAACCTCATGAGTTTCCCATGAGCCCTCTTCTCAATCTTTTCCAGATCCCTCTGGATGGTATGCCATCTTTCAGGTGTGCTGACAGTAGCACTCAGCTTGGTGTCATCTGCAGACTTGATGAGGATGCACATGATCCCACTGTCTGTGTCACTGATGAAGATATTAAACCATAAAGACCCCTGAGGGATGTCCCTTGTCACCAGTGTCGGTCTGGATATTGAGTCATTGACCACTACTGGCTGGTGGCCATCTAACCAGTTCCTAATGCAACAGTCCAATTGACAAATCCATCTCTCTTCAACTTAAAAGAGAAGGATGTTGTGGAGATGACATCAAATGCCTTACAAAAGTCCAGATAGATGACATCTGTAGTTCTTTCCTTGTCCACTGATGTAATCAATCCATCACTAAAGGCCACTAGGTTGCTCAGGCAGGATTTGTCCTTGGTGAAGCCATGCCTTGGCCAACATTTAGTTCATAATCAGTTCTTTGTAATTAAGAACATCCTATTGCTATGAGGAGGTAAAAAAAAATAAATTGTTCTACGCATCTGTTATTTGTCTTCAAACTGTAGTCTTCTGACCTGTTTCTCATGGAAGAAGTGACTCTGCACAGCATTTTACCTCTCTTTAGACTACTAAGTAACCAGATGTGAGTGAGTCCACTGGGGAAGCGGTGAACAGACCTGCTTATAATTTTCATTAAATTCTTTTTTTTACGTATATGTATATATGTGCGTGTATATATATATATATATATATATATATATATATATATACACACACACCCACACAGAGATATATATATATATATATATATATATATATATATATATATATATATATATACACACACCTCCACACAGTAGTTTGCAACTGGCATGGGAATCTTTCATTTTGATGTTGCTTTAATGTTGACAAGATATGTGTGTGTATATATATATATATATATATATATATATATATATACACACACCTCCACACAGTAGTTTGCAACTGGCATGGGAATCTTTCATTTTGATGTTGCTTTAATGTTGACAAGCTCATGCTGACACTGAGTTCAGTGGCTGGAGAGGATATATATGTGCATGACCACTTCCACTGGAGTAGTGTGACTTATGAACTGTAATGTACATGCATAAGTGGTGTGGGGCATGGTGCTATTCCCATCCTTGGAAGTGTTCAAGGCCAGGGTGGGTGGGGCATTGAGAAACCTGGCCCAGTGGAAGATGTCCCTGACCATGACAGGGAGGTTGGAACTAGATGATCTTTAAGCCCCTTTCACCCAAGCATTTTTATAGTTCAATGCATATATATGATTTAAAAAGTCACTCCTGTTGCACACGGCATCTGGAATAGAGCTCAGGGTCTTGATATTCAGAATTCACAATCTGATGTAATAGGTCTTCACCCAAAATAAGGAGGTTACAAGCACGAAAACTTCTGAAAAGAACCATTTATACAAAACCAAAGGAGGAAACTTGAAAAAAGGATTTTGCATTTCTTTAAGCCTTTTTAAGAGTGTTAGAAACTCTGGACTCAGTTTTTCCAAACAACTGGAGCAAACCCTCCAAATCCTACGTTCCAAGTCATACAACAGCAATTCAAAGACTTCCCTCAGCATGTATCAAAGTCCATTCATCAATTATATGCCTCAAAAATATTGTGTTTAGACACTTTTTAAATAGCTTCAGGATGTGTAAAAGATTTGGGTTTTCTCTCATGTCATAGAAGGATGTTTGGATATGGTAAATTAACTTCTGCCTCTAGTCCTCTGTTGCCCCTTGCTGGGATTAAAATACAAGGTTTTGTAAGAAGCCAGACTGCTGCTGTGAATCATTCAGTTATTTTCCTTCTTCACTTCAAGTTACTTGTAAAGGATGAATCAAACCAAGCTGTTACTGAACTACTTGCAACTAAAAGAGAACATTTGTG